CCCCCCCCCCCCGCCGCCCCCGCCCGGCCCCCGACCCCGGGTCGCCTCACGCCCCGCGGTGCCAGGCCGAGGGCTGCACGGCGGACCTCTCCCACGCCAAGCACTACCACCGCCGCCACAAGGTCTGCGAGTTCCACTCCAAGGCCTCCACCGTCATCGCCAACGGGTTGACTCAGCGATTCTGCCAGCAGTGCAGCAGGTTCAAAATTACCCCCAATGCCCCTCCCCCCAATCGCGTAATGACCGAAATGCCCCTGGGGTCTTGCTTGCTGTTCTCCTCCCGCCCGGCCAATCCCGTTTGCCGGACACGGGGGTCGATCCCCAAAGGCATTTGCGTCCGTATACAAATTATTACGTGCCCCGTTTTCCGTTTGGTTTGATAAATGCACGTGAGCAAGGGTTTTTCTTGTCTGAAATGATAAAAAAAAACCCTGGTCTTGCTGTGGATTGACGATAATGGCCATGGGAGACGAATCATGCTTGGTGCATGGCCCAATGATTGGCGCGTCCGTACATTTGGGCGATCCCGAGGGCATTTCTGTCCGTGAAAAATATTATACCCTTCTTTTGGTTATTGCGCTTGCCGTTTATGGACCGTGTTGCTTTACTTGTTATGGAAAGAATTTGTTGATGTTGATTAATTAGTATTAATTAATAAACTATAATTAAATGCAGCATTTTGACTTTATTTTGTGGTAACTTTTTTTCTTGCAGATTCCATCTTCTTCCCGAGTTTGACAACGGAAAGCGCAGCTGCCGGAGGAGATTGGCCGATCACAATCGTCGCAGGCGAAAAACTCAGCAAACAAATCAAGAGAATCACAACTCACAAGTACAGCAGCTAGTGGAAAATGCCCGGAATTCTTCTTCAGATAATGTTGCAAGTAATTAATTAACCTAGTTCATAAATTGAGACTTTACCAAGCTTTCTTTAATTTTGTTTTAGTATGTGGAAATTGAACTTTTGTAACATTTGGTTTTCTGGGATTTGTTTGGTAGGGTCTCCGCCTGAGTCGGCAGCTCATTCGGCGTCCTCTGTGACCGTGGCCCTGTCGCCGCCACGAATGACGTTGGATTGTTTTAGGCAAAGACCCTATCAAGCTGCTGCCACAACTTCTTCAGGGTCATCAAGCTCACTTTTTTTCTCAAGTGGGTAAAAGCCAATTAGAATGAGTTAATCAATGGCGTTGTCTATTTTTAATTAGTCTAGTCTTCCCTAAAATTTCAGTCTTAGTCTGAACGAATTTTAGTCACATTAATTACATGCAATATTGGAGCATGAATTTGGCTAGCTATTCTCTATATTCTATGCAAGTAGATTCTTTACCATTTTTATTTATTTTTCTCTGCAATTAATGAATGCATTTTAACTCAGTGGCAACAAGGTTGCTGGAAATTAAATTGGAAGCTGTTTGTGTTTGGTTCCAGAGAAAGTTATGTGTTTGTGTTTGTCTTGGTGCTGGAATTTTCCGGGAAAATGCAGGGAAAGATAGAAAGAAATTGACTGCAGCACTAGTAGTAGTTTCAGTTTTGTACTTATAACTTTAACTTTAATCTGAGGAGGAATATAATGAAGGATCGAAAGAGGACGTGAAGCCGTCAAGCTGTCTCCCAAATGGAAGCTGTGCTAAAAACCAAGTTCATTATCAAGCAGCAATTTTGATCAAAATCAATCAATCACATGCTGCCCTCCCTCTCTCTCTCCCTCTCTCTCCCCGTAGAATCGCTGTGAGCCGTACATCCACATTTCAAAGGTCCCCGTTGGGGCCTACTCGACGGAAATCACATGGAGGGTAGAAATTGTTAATCATGGCAAGCAATTATTTCACCATAATATGAATATCTCTCCACACAGGGACATAAAAGCTTGTGTTTTGGAAGTACTTCTTTCAACAGCCCTAAAAAAACTCTTTCAAGTACAGGTGAATTTTCAACGAGTCATGCGAGGGTACATGGAGTCGAATTTCAATCATCTTGTTCGTGTTGACGAAATATATCTTGATTAGACTAATTACGCTAACAAATCGGGAACTTAACGAATTATTTATTTTCGAATTAGGTCGATGAGTTTCTAAGGAACAATATTGTACCCTTGCGTAATGTAAAATAAGAACAACATTAATTCTGTCAGCTAGAGCTAGTTGATGTTACTTTGTGAATTAATGTATAGCATATAGTACTAAATTGAGGGTTTGTTTTGTCAATTTTTATTTTGTTTGGGTGTGTTTTTGCAACAATTACGTGATGGAGTTGCAAGAACCGTAGCAGGCATGCAAGTCATGCAAAGATCCTTGTCGTCCTTTTCTAGAAGAATTGTTAGTGGGGGTGACATTGACTTACAAAATTAGTCACATGACATTGTGACATAATAATAAAAGTAATACTCGTTGTCCCAATTGAAGATTACAAAGTTGCATGATGTGGAAATTTAATACTGGGGGTTTCCTTTTCTTGTTTTCTTATGTGCTTTCATTAATCTTTTTCTATCATCTTCATATATATGATGTATGATTGTGAGTGATGGGTTTTTTTCATTCTCTGATGTGGAAGTGGAAGCCTCCTTGCACTTTCCAGGAAATTTGTTGTTAGTGTTAGGCCTTTTCCTATGTGTCTTTATTCATCCTACTTTTTTGCTAACAGCTTCAATTAAATTGAGATATGCTTTTGTTCTAAATCAAGACAAGCAATTGATCTCCTTCCATTCATTTCAAATCATGGATGTGTTGAAAACTAAAAAAACATTACTTTGCTAGTTGTAAGTGAACTCTCACCTCAAGACGTATACGGTTTTTTTAGGTCAATCAATCATATCCGTCACACTCTATTTCAATATAATTAAAAAATATCGCAAGTCTCTATATTTAGAGTTCATGTATTTACTCGCATTTCTAACATATAAACCATTAAAATCAATAAAGTACGAGCGTTATTTTTTTAATTTTTTTAAATATCAGTCCAATAATGTGAGAGCTATCTCGTGTAGTTGCCTATAATTTTAAAGTGTGTATGACTTGTGGCTGAAGTAGGAAATCCCATCTCATCCGTCATCACTGATGAGCTCATTTTGTAATTGTTTGGAGAGAGGTCACTTTCTTGCACCTCTCACTTTAAGTTTCGTGTCCCCTTATCCTATATCAAGCACAAGAAAAGTAAAAAGGCTATAGCTACCCCCTCATCAATTGGTGTTCATTACTTTTACTGACAATATAAAGAAAAAGTAATTAAGACAAAAGTCACTTTTGGTTCCTGTAATTTGGTATTTTAACCACTTTTGATTTTGTAGTTTTAATTCCATCAATTTTGCCCTTGTAGTTTCGTATTTGTAGTAATTCAAGGACATGTTAGTATTCTTGTCAATTTCTTTAACAATGCAAGAGGCAATTTCGTCAACTCAAATCCCTTGAGCGTAACAGCTTGTCTAAAATTCTCCTCATTTCATATTAGGACTCGAAATTCAACCACTAATCCTAATTTTTGAAGAACTCTAAACCCAAATGACCAATTTCAAGCCCTAATATGAAATTAGGGGAGTTTCAAACAAACTTTTATGCTCAAAGATTTTGAGTTGACGAAATTGCCATTTACACCGTCAAAGAAATTGACAGGAATACTAACTTGTCCTTGAATTGCTACAAATACGAAACTACAGGGTCAAAATTGACGGAATTAAAACTACAAAATCAACAGTGGTTAAAGTGCCAAACTACAGGGACCAGAAGTAATTGAAACTGTAAATCATATAATTTGATGTGTAGTAATTTATTTGTACTGGCTATTATTGTTTGTGAGTTCTAAAACATCTTGCATATGACAAAATTTACAATCTTAATTGGAATGCCTATGGCAGAGTTTCTTCGATCATGCGTGATCGTTAGTGGAGGCACACTAGATTGTCTTAATTTTGATGTTAGATCGATTTGTTATTGTAATGGCCCTTTGCGGCTAGTTTATATTGGTCCTTTATGAGTAGTGATTTTTTTGGCTGTATTATGAATGCAATTCCATACTTTTTCAACAACAAAAAAAACAAAAAAAAAAATTTGCATATAGGAAACATTTACACTAATATATAAAGTATAATATAAAATAATCCAATACATACGGTAAACCTCAAACATAAGGACTAATAACCTTCAAAGCAAACCAATCATTATATTCATAACCTTCAAAATAATTCCAACTTAGGTAAACCTAACAATTGGGTGTTTCTTAAGTAAGCACTTCCAAGTGCTTTTTTAAAAAACGTTTCAATTTTTTTTTATTAAAATAAAATTTGTTGTGCTTAATGAAAGCGCATATAAACAAAAGGATTTTATTACTACTTTTTACAGAAACACTCCCAAACCGGCCATAGTGGTAACGTACACATTTTCTGTTAATTAATCGTTGATTGGCCAAAAAGAAAACGGTCAGTGGTCCAAACTTTGGTTAATAATTAGTATTTTGTGAGCTCTCAAGTCCTCCGCAGGGAGGAGTAGTGATCACAAGTCAGTGAGTGGTCCAAATTGGCACGCAAACAATCAAAATATATTGCAACCTCTTTGTTTAAAGAGAGAAGTCAGAAGAATAAAGGAGGTACATTTCATGTTTCATTCAATCAGTGCAACATTACCCTCAGCTCCCCAATCCCCAATGAAATCATCCCATTTTTGTGGGTCGCAACCGAAGCACATGTCACACTTCCTGGCTAGCTATATAAGACTTTGGTCGTACTCATTACCTCGCCATTATATTATTGAAAAGTTAACGACTTTAACACTTCTAATTTAACTATAACGAAGATTTACTGAGAAAGTACCATTGTATGATAGAAAGAGTAGCGACTTTAAGATTCTCAATTTAACCGTAAATAAGATTTACTGTGAAAGCCAAAAGATGTAAAGGAGCAAAACATATTTGATTGGCATAACCCTCCGAATTCCTATTGTGAGGATAAAATAAGGGATTTTAACTGCAATACCAGATTTTCATTTTATACTTGAACTCATTTTTGAGTCATTACGGATTTTCAATTCCCTTACATTTTTCAATTTAGTCATTATTAAAGAATAATTGCGTCAAAATTAACGATTTAACTCCTCAAATAGACGGAAAAAATTAAAGAAAATTAACAAAATGACTAAATTGAAATCCATGCGAGAATTGGAAAACTAAGTATAAAATATTGAATTTGAAGGTAGCATGGAAAGTGAACTCAGAAGTTGAAATTGAAAATCAACACATTTTTTGTGATGAAGGGATTTGTAGGGCCCCCGCAAATTTCACTGCAAACCGATCTTAAAGCCACTGTCGCTGTGGGTTGTTCTTGTGGCACAGAGAGCATACTTTTCAAACCCTGCACGTGGATACTTGTTGTAGGCTCCTAGTTCTGATACGTGGGGCATGGATGGAGAGTACTTGCAGGTCTGGTCACGTGCGACGCACGTGACAATACGAAAATAGTCTTTGCCCGTTTGCAACTACAGCTGGAGAGAGAAAAAAAAAGGAAGTTGCTAGGTTGATATGAAATGCGAATGATGAATTGGTAGGTGTGTGTTGTGGAGGCAAAGGCTTTTCTTTTGCTGTGTGTTCTGTGGTTGGACCACGCAAAATAATGTCACAAATATGGATATGGGGTAAGTCGGTAAATCTCCGTTTTTTTTCTTCTTCCAACTACTTATGGAATTCAGCTACCTATTCTTAGTATGTAGATTGTAGAGCCAACCCAAAACCCTAGACATATAATGTGAGGTGTTATAAAGAAGTGCTCGTGTGATTTTACGAGATAATTTTTTGTGTTATATTGTCGAATTCTTAATTTGAATTACTCACGAAAAGGCTGTGATAATTGAATTACTTGTTTAAAAGTTATTACATATATAGAATCTTATTCGACCACGAATGTTTAACTCATGATCCAAAAAGTTCTAATGAACTTGAACATAATGGTCGATGATTAAACTCAAATTCCTATTCAAACTTCGAAATCTACCTTAATTTTGAGTTATGAGATCCAAAAAAAATCTATGTTCAGTCATACACACCTGTCGATAGGGGCAAAATCATGATAGATGCAGGAGCAAGCACATCAAGTTATTGATCATATAGGCAATAACATAAAGTGTCACATAGGGCAGAACAGAGTTACGGTCATAATCTTTCTTCTTCTTCTTCTTCTTCTTCTTCTTCTTCTTCTTTTTTTTTTTTTGGGGTAATATTTGCCAATTCGTGAGAGGACAAAATTATGAGTGTCTCCGAGCTTATGAGTATCCCATGACCATAATGTCTTTTCAAAATATT